TCAGCCACGAGGGAGGGCCTGGCCATGGGCCCTGGGAGGAAGCAGAGAATTGGGACTCAGGGACCATGGTGAATCAGGGAACGGTCCTTCTCTGGGAGTGGCCGAGGACACGGATTCCCTGGCCTGGCCTCTGGGCATCCGGACGCCACATCCTCCTTGGAGTCTGAGCAGCACTCGCTAGCCAGGCTCAGTGCCTCATAACAGACAGCGCCGAAACGATGATGGCTTGTCTCATTTTTGATTCTTACAGGTATATTTCCGGTAGGACATGATCTCACTCATCCGGGGGAAATGGTGAACAACATAGACAGATGAACACGAACAGACCCAGAGAGAAGGAGCCAGGGGTCAGACGGTCGGACCTCAGAGGGAGGGTGGGGATAAAAGGGAGAGATCAGCCAAAGGACTTGTGTGCACACCTAGGAGCCTAACCAGTGGTTGTGGACAATAGGGGGGTGGTGGCATGCATGGGGGGAGGTTTGGAATGCTGGATTGAGGACAAATATGTGATACGTTAATCAATAAAGAGATTAATTTTAAAAAAAATAAAAAATAAAAATAAAAACGAAAAAAAAAGGAAAGGAAAATAAAATTAAAAAATAAAAATAAAATAAAATTAAATTAAATTAAAAAGACAGCACTGCCCCCTGCCCCCCAGCAGCCCCGTGAGCCTGGGCCCATGTCTGTGAAGATGGGGGGGGGGGGGTGGAAAGAGGAACCCGGAGGCTGGGATTCCCAGGAAGGCGGCCCAAAGGGTGGCAGTGACACCCAGGGCCCCTCTCTGCCTGCCTTTGGGGTCCGTCCAGGCTGCAGCACCCGCCATGGCCGGAGCCCGGGCAGCCTTCCTGCACCCGGAGGTCCTGTAAGAGCCGGCAGCTGAGCTCTCAAGCTGGGGAGCCCAACGAGGGAGCTGCCTCCCGGGGTCCCTCTGGGGCGGCCTCCCTGTCTCCGACCAAACGCCCCAGGGACGGCCTCTCGGGAAGGGAGACCCATCAGCTGTGTATCCTGCGCAGCGATGTAGGGTGGCTGCTTGGGGGCGGGGGGTAGGGGAGAGGCAGGAGGAGAAACCAGACAGAGCTGGGATGGGCGCCCACAGTTGTGAGGGGGGCCCAGGATGGGGAGCCCCGGGGCCGCTCTGAGGTGAGATGTGAGGGATGGGCAGGAAGCAGCAGATAGCTGAGCGGTCAGGGGAGGCGGGGAGGGAGGGGGTGGGTGCCAGGGGGCGCGCACTGGGGTGGGAGAAGGTCATGAGCATGGGGTGAGCTTGGTGTGTGAGATGCGGAAAGGAAGCCAGGGCTGTGGCTGAGGGAGACTTGGCCTCGGGACACACAGGGAGGAGGGGTCTGACAAGACCTCCATTTGGCCAGGGAAGGGTTCTGGATGGGAAGTGACGTCATCAGATTTGATGTTTCTAAATCCGACCCCAGGAGGGAGAAGTTGGAGGGGAGCAGGCAGGGGAGGGGGGTGAAGGGGAAGCCCCTGGTGGCCCGGGGACCTGCTGTGGAGCTGAGAGCTCGGCTGGGCTGGGATGTGTGGGCTCTTGTGAGGACATGTGAGGGCGCTGGTGACACTCCGGAGTGTGGGATGGGGTGACAGAGGGAGGGGAAGAGGGGGGGGGGTGCGGACAGATGACTGTGGCATATGGTCCTGGACTGAGGCCTGACCCTGAGGACACAGTAGGCAGGTGAGGAAGAGGAGGCAGGTGACCGGGGCAGGAATCAGCATCCAGTTTTCCATTTCCTGGGCCTCAGGTGTCGGGGAATTGGGGTGGATGCCCAGTGGGGTGGGGGGCAGCGGTCAGGTGTGTTAGGAGGCACATTTGCTGGTGCCACTTGGAGTGTGTGTGTCCCCTCCCGCCCCCCCCCCTTCCTCCCTCCTTTAATCCACAGGAGGCCCTTGGGGTGGGCGGGGGGAGGAGCGGGGCAGGGGTGACTCACCTTCCTGCGTGTAGATCACCCGGCCCAGACAGATCACTGCAAGGGGAGCCCTGGTGAGATGGCCGCCCGCCACCCGCCCGGTGCCTCAAACGGGGTCCAGGCCCCTGAGCTACAGGAAGGACACCCTCTCCCGCCACCTCCCACCCCCCTGGTCAGCCTGGCTCCCACGGGGTAGCTTCCCCCCTCCCCCCTGCAGCAGGGTCCACACGGGTTCCCAGGAGGCCTCCCACCACGCCCCCTCTGCCCCTGTGTGTGTGTGTCTGACCGGTCCCCCTCCCAGGGTCTCTCCCCTGGAGCTGGGGCCCAGGTGACACAGAGGAAGCAGAGCCTGAAGGCTGAGGGGGATCCCGGGGCTTGGGGGCAGGTGCCCCTCGGAGTCCCGCCCCTCTGCCCTGAGGCCCTCCCCACAGCGATCGGACTCACCCAGGCCCAGGAGGGTGGAGGGATGGGGGTACATGAGCAGCCTCGCAATGGCTTCTCTGCCCTTGTCCGGGTGAGGCGGGCAGGGCCCGGCCGGCGAGGAAGTGTGCAGGGGTCCTGGTCACAGGCTCTTTTCCGTGGCCTCTCAGGAAGGGAGTGTGGCTGCTCATGGACCCACGTGCCCCTATTTGGAGAACCTGAGCCGCCAGGGTTTCCGGGAGGCATTGCGAGAGAGATGTTTCCTCACCAGGCCGAGCCCGTGCCCAGGGGAAGGCCACAGAGAAGTAACTGATCAGAGACAGACACACAGGGCAGAAGGATGGATGGGTGGATGACGCATAGAGACTCAGACACACAGACCTACCGTAACACACATACACAAAGGGGTAGTGACATGGGTGGATGCATAGGTGCCTCGATGGATGTCGAGATAGTCACATAGACACTGAGAGACATGGATACATAGACAGAAACTAACGTACATCTGTATATATAAAAGCCTAAATGACCACAGGACAAGTTGACCAGTTGCTGTGATGAATACTGACCACGAGGGGACAGATTCATGACACTGGAACTGCCCCTCGCTGGTCAGGGCACTCTCACAGCTAATCTCCCGTGGCTGCCAACGTCCTGCAGCCCCTCGCAGCCACTGGCCAAACTGCCAGGGTCCCTACCCCTGGCCAGCTGGCCCTTCCCGCCCAAAAGGCCCCAATTGCTGGCCAGCCCAAGGGACCCTTCTCATGCACAAATTTGTGCACAGGAGTCTCTAATAGATATATTCTTTACCAAACTTTACCTTTGATAGGTATATCTGCTTTGCTATAGGGAAAAATGTGGGAATAAAAACCCAGGGGGTCTGGAGATTCAGGGAACTTAAGTCACTACAGCCACGTTTCTGTCTGGCCCTCCAAAATGCCTTCCAAATTCCTATTTCTTCTCTGGTCTCTTTAGTCCAATGATGCACAGCCCTTCTCCAGATTCCTGAGCCCTTGTTGGTGCAGAAAAGACCGCAGCAGAACTGTATACCTACCCCCTTCTGAGGATCTTGTCTGTCTTGTTGACACTATTACAGAAGTTCCCCTTCCTCCCCTCACCCACCTTTGCCCTCCTGGTGGCCCAGCTCTGCCTGGGGCCTGCCTGGGGCTGCGGCCTCACAGCCATCCCTGGGCTGGAACCTGAGAGTCTCAGCCTTTCCCTCCAGGTCCTGACTCTCCTCTGTCTGCTCCTCCTGGTGGTGGGAGGCCCCTCCCCTAGGAGGTCACAAGGATGGGCCTCAGTGTTGTGAGGGGGGAAGAGGCTATGGAACCACCTTCCCTAGGCACAGTGTCTGTGTTCTGGGCCCTCAATGGACCCATGGACACACACCACCATCCAGACCAGAATCTGGCCACCCGCCCAGGCCCCTGTGGCTCTCTGCACACTCAACTTTCCCGGAAGTCCTGCCCACATGACGGTGTCTTCAGTGCATTCACTCCTGTGGACATGGGGGCGTTCGGTGTGACATAACCAGAGGCAGCTGGCAGGCCAGGGTCTCACTGGGCACAAAGGCCACAGAGACAGTGGCTCAGAGCCTGAGCTGGGGACCGCCTGCCCTGGGTACATGGGTGGGGGGGAGGCGGGGAGGGCAGGCTGAGTCCCTCCAAGGTCCCCCTCAGCTCTATGCTGCCCCAGGAACCGTGTGGAGGTGTCAGGAGAGGTCAATGGTTTCCTGTGTGCACTGAGAAGCTGAAGCCTTTGCATCAGGAAATGTGTGGTTTGGGGACAGTCAGCCTGTGAGGGCCAGAGGGCAAGACAGGAAGTTTCCCAGCATGTACTGTCTACTACGATTCTATGTATCTCAGTATCTATCATTGTATCTGTATATCTATCTATGTAACTATGCATCTATCAATTATCTGTGTAACTATGTATCCATCTAATAATTTATAAATCTATGTATCTATCTATCTATCTGCATAACTATGTGTCTAAGTACCTATGTATTTACATAACTATCTCTGTATCTATCTAAATATCTATTCAACTGTCTGTATTTATATAATTATGTATCTGACAATCTGCATAGCTATTGATATACCCCAGTATGTGTTTATGTAACTAAGTATCTTTGTAACGATCTCTATATCCATGTTTGCATCTATGTATTTATCTATGTAACTATGAATTTGTGCATCTGTGTAACAACTTATACATCTAGGTATCTGAGTATCCAGCTACGTAGGATCCATCTAGGGACCATCTATCTTCTATCTATCTATCTATCTATCTATCTATCTATCTATCTATCTATCATCCTATGTCTGTCTACCGCTGGTGAATTAATACCATGTGGGTTTGATGTCATGGATTGCGCCTGGTTAGGACATATGTCGCTAAAAACTGCTGTGTAGACATATGAGAAATGTTGTTTTTCACATGAGTATCACCCAGGCCTTTCTGGACCCACAAAGGGGAAACTGGGTTTGGGGCTGGGAGCACCCCGCCTCCCTCCATGAGAAACCACTGAAACGAGTCACATGACCCGGCCCCTTTAAGGCCGCCCTGCACATTCACTGACCTGCAGGGCCCTGTCCTCCCTCCTCCAGGCAGACACATCTCCTCCGTGTGGACAAGGACAGAGAAGACGTGGAGAGGCTGGCCATGAGCCCCCGGCCCTCCACCCTCCTGGGCCTCTGTGAGTCCTGGACGGAGGGACCTCTCCCAGGGGCCGAGGGGGTGGTGCCTGGGGGAGACGTCTCCATCCCTGCTCAGTCTGACCCCAGCCCAGGAGACTTCTGGTCCCTCCTGGGGGCCTGGCCCCTCAGCTGTGGTCCTGGCCTAAGTGTGACCCTGGGAGGGTCAGTCCTAGAGGCAGGGGCCGGGACATGGGGACAGGGTTCTGACTGAGGGCCTGATTAAAAGAGGGGAGTGGTGGGGGTTGGTCTGGAAACCCAGAGCAGGAAGCAGGATTGTGCTCAGAGGGGATGCTGAGGAGGGAGCCTGGGAGATTCTCCAGGCAGGGCCCGCTGCCTCCAGGAAGGCCCCCTGATTGCAGCCCGGGGAGGACCCGGGTGCTGGGCGTTGTCCTCACCAGCCCTTCCCTTGCAGTGCTCTGTCTGGGCCAGATGATCCACATGCAGGAGGGTGAGTCCCCTTTTTAAATGAGTTTTTCACGCATGTTTCATGTTCAGGCAAAATGTTGATTTTCCTTAGAGTCCTCTCCTGTGTGTCTTCAGCTGGAATGAGCCTGAGCCTCTCTCCCTGTCTGCATCTGTCTGTCCTCACGCCCTCTGGCTAAGTGACCTTCAGAAACCCAGCCTTCCTGACACTTCCACAAACTCCATGTTCCCCTTGGACCTCGGCCTCCTCCCAGGCTGAGGGCTCCTGTGCTGGGCTTGGCTCATTCCCCCGTGACCCTCTGGTCTCAGCTCAGGGCCTCCCTCCTCTGCCTCTGAGAGGTCAACCCTGCCCCTCGTCTTGAGTCTCCACACTCACCCTAACCCCCCACACTCACCCTGTGCCTCCTCTCCCCTCCTGCCCAAGAAGGCCAGGGTCCTCCTGTGTTTCTCCTGTTTGTGGGGCCAAAGGCACAAGGAGGCGTCTGTGAAGGGGAGACAGGAGCTGAGCTGTGGCTGACGGAATGAGGGAAGGGGGGACGGAGGGAAGGAGTGGCGGGGCTGGGCCAGGGCTCTCTCTCAGGGTTGGGTAACTGGGATGCCTTCTTCCTGTTTCAGGGCCAGAGCCCTCTCTTCCCCTCCCCGCCCCGTTTACACATTTGGGGTTGCAGGAGCCTCCATCACAAGGAAGTATAAAGGGGCTGAGAGGGAGGTGGGGAATGCAGAGGGAACCTCAGTGAGTGCTGCTCAGAGAATGTGCCCTGCAGTCATGGGTGGGGGTGTCCACACAACTGGGGTCCTGTGAGCAGGTCTGGGCTGGAGCTGTACCCCCACCCCCTTTTCCTCTTGACTTCCCATGGGGCAATGCAGCCCCCATTGGTCCCCACAATCTCTCTAGCTGCCCTCAGACCCGGCCAGGCCACTCCCACCATCTCAGACTCCAGCGTCCCTGTGCCCACGAGTGACCCACTCATCTTCACCCTCTGCCCCCCTCCCAGCCCTGTCTGTCCCCCTGGAGAGTGGCCGTGGGGACAGCTGCTCTGACAGGTCCGCGGTCACCTGAGGAAAGCTCATGAGGCCACCAGATCTTGGGTCTTAGTGTCAGGTGGGGAAGTCACTGGATGATGAGAACTCAGTCCCCTGGAGGGGGCAGAGAGCGTGGTCTCTTGGGAAAGGGACTGGGGGTGAAATGGCTTAAAATTAGATTGCAGACATAGTTGCACAGCTCTGCAAGTTTGCTAAGAACATTAACGTGCACTCTTGAAACACGGGCGGCGTGAGGTTAGAGATTTCCTCCCGATGGAGCCTGAGATCCTGCTCTGCTTCCTCCCAGGGTCCCTGCCCAAGCCCTCCCTCAGGGCCGAGCCAGGCCCTGTGATCCCCCGGGGACGGCCTGTGACCTTGGTGTGCCAGGGCCCAGCTGGGGCTAGGTTATTCCGCCTGGAGAAGGATGAAAGACAAGTACTCTCTGATCAGAAAAGTGTGCTTCAAGATGGTCGGCAGGGCTCAGAGGCCAGATTCCACGTCTCCGTGGTGAGTAACGACACTGCCGGGAGTTACCGCTGCCTCTACAACCAAGGACCTAATAACTGGTCTGAGCACAGTGAACCCCTGCAGCTGCAGGTGACAGAGGAGGACGTCTCCACTCAGCCCCCAGGTGGGTCCCAGGGCCCCGCACCCTGTCCCAGCCTCATCTCTGCCCTCGGGCTCCTGCCCTCCTGCTCACCCCCATTCCTGGAGCTCCCCTCCCTCTGCACACAGGACTCGGCCGTCACCCCTGGCTCAGGGCCCTGGAGTCTGGTCCCATCTGGACACCACGGTGGCCTGGACCCTGAGCCCCGCCTCAGAGGGGACACAGAGCTGTCCCTGCTGGGCTGGGTGGGGCCTGAGCTCCCAGCCCCCAGGTGGGCACAGACCCCTTCAAGGGGCCCTGAGTCCTTCTTTTCTTCTCTCTCCTTTTTTTAATAATTAAAATATATATATATTATTGATTTTTACAGAGAGAGGAAGAGAGAGGGATAGAGAGCTAGAAACATCGATGAGAGAGAATCATCAATCAGCTTCCTCCTGCACACCCACCACTGAGGATGTGCCCTCTACCAATGTACATGCTCTTGACCGGAATCGAACCCCAGACCCTTCGGTCTGAAGGCTGACACTCTATTCACTGAGCCAAACAGGTTCCGGCCAGAGTCCTTCTTTTCAAAATGTGGGTGCCCTGCCCTTTCCCTTGGCCAGACTCTGAGGGGCCCAGGCAATGTGTCCCCTGGGGTCCGCCCTCCATGGGTAAGTCCCGTGGTCCACGGGGTCCCTGACCAGAGCCGGATGGTGCGTTGGAGTATTTTTTTTGGATGTGGCTTGCCCCTGGCCTGGTGTGGTCAGACCCTGAGATGAACTGGAGTCAGAGTCCAGCAAGGACATGGAGAGGGATGGAGGAAGAGAAGGAGGGAGAAACGATGAGGGAGGGAGAAAGGGGAAATTCTTCAAGTCCAAGTGTCTTCTCTCTCCTCTCTCCTCATCCTGCTGTGACTCAGACTTCCCATGGGGGGGAGCACATGCCCAGGGGTGAACCCCATCTGCCAGGCCAGGGGTGTCCACCCAGTTGATCCTGACCCTGTGACCTCCCTGCCCTGGAGGACTGTGGGTGGCACAGTGGCCGGGTGAGGTGACCTCAGCATCCAGGCCCAGTGACCCCGTGGCCGGGTCAGGGGGCTCCCACCCCATGTGTCCAGGGGCCAGGACCAGCTGCCTGTGCTAATGGGACGTTGTCCTGAGGGGGGGCCACCCGCTCAGACAAGTGGAAGCAGGGAGGGTGCCATCCGGGTGCCCTCGTCTCCCTGAGCCCTTCTGGGGCGTGTCGGGTGGTCCTCTCTACTGGGAGGGGCAGAGCAAGTGGCCAGGTGTGGGCGCTGTGGGTGGGGAAGGGCCAGGTGAGTGGGGCAGAGGGAGAGGACCTTGGGCTCAGTGATTGCCCCGCCCCCTTCTCAGGAGCCCCTGGAGACCTCTGCTCCCTGACTTGTACCCTGGGCTGTGGAGGGGGCACCTCAGTCTGGGTCATCTCCTTCTACAGCGCTCTGCTGGGCACGGGCTCCTGTCTCCTAGGGTCACTGACAGGGTGGTGTCCACCTGTCAGTGACCTCTGCCCTTTGCTTCTAGGCCCCGCCTCCCGGAACTACAGTGTGGAGAACAGCATCCGCCTGGGCCTGGCGGGCGTGGTCCTGCTGATCCTGCTGGCGATTCTGGTGGAAGCTGGGCTCAGCCAGCGCAGAGCCCCACAGCGACCACAGGAGTAACCACAAGGAACCGCTCCCCCCAGAGAGAGGGGACCCCAGGGCGCCAGCAGGGAGCTCCCTGAGTGCCCCACGGTTCACGCTGGAGCCCAGGACACCCAGGTCTGCCCCCGCTGTTGTTCAAGGACAAGAACACTCAGGCCCACGTGGGTTAGGATGCTTGGCCTCAACCCCTCCTCTTCCCAGGACCACCGAGAGGAGTCAGCTTGATTGACCAGCAGGCAGACAAGGCCGGGTCCAGGGGAGACAAAGGCCGGTGGAATGTAGGCAGAGCAGACCTAGCCACCCGAGCCACCCTGACTGCGGAAGCCAGCCTCACAGAAATAACAGGATGATTTTAGACTCAGAGGGGAGGCAGGGGAACTAGGGAGGGGCTGCCACAATCAGGTGAGCTGAGACAGAGGGACCCAGAAGGTTCAGGTCTGCTTCTGGGCAACAACAATGGAGAGAATCCATGAGGTGGCCACAGGGGGCGATAGAGAGCAGGTTTGTAGCAAATATATAGGTACCCCTAGACCCCAGGCTTCAGGGGCAACCATGACTGAGCCTCTCCCCATGTGGGAGTCTCAATGTGCTTGCAATAAAGTTTCCACACTTTGGCTTCAATCTTCTGGTGTGAGATTTCTTCATTCTCTGCGTGTGTGAGATGCCATATGGAGTGTGGAGGGGGGGTGAAACCTCAGCTCGCTGTTGTGGGTATCACCACCATCCCCAACCCAGCCCCCCAGGGCCGCTATGTCATGGGAGGAACACAAACTGCCCTCCACCATGTGGGTGGGCCTCCTCGCATCGGCTGAAGAGAACAGGACGGACCCCTGGACGCCGCTGGCCGACTCCCTGGGGCTTGAACAGCAACAGCAGCTCTCCTGGTCTCCTGCCATCAGCCCTCCCTGCACATTTTGGCCTTGCCAGACTCCTGAATCGTGTGAGCCAACCCTGCCACAGGCATCTCTCTGTATATACATGTCCTGTAGGTCCTGTGCCTGGGACAGACCCACACCGGTAGGATGGGCTCAGCATTTCTTTTGGGGGCCTAGGGGTGTGATGACAATAATTTGAAATGAGGTAGAGGCAAAGGTTGCACAAGATGGTGAATGTATGAAATGCCACGGGATAGTACACATTTGTCCCTTTTGCTGATCTTGTCTGTCTTGTTGACTCTATTACAGAAGTTCCCCATCCTCCTCTTTCCCACCTTTGCCCTCCTTTTATTTATTATTTATTTATTATTTATTATTTATTTATTTATTTATTTATTTATTTTAAAATAAATCTTTATTGTTCAGATTATTACAAATGTTCCTCATTCCCCCCCCATCCATTGCTCCCCTCCACCAGGTTCCCATCCCACCCTCTGCCCTTTCCCCACCCCCCATTGTCCTCATCCATAGGTGCACAGTTTAGGTTCAGTCTCTTCCCGCACCCCTCACTCCCTTTCCCCCCTGAGAATTGTCAGTTCACTCCCCTTCTATACCTCTGATTCTATTTTATTCACCAGTTAATATTGGTCATCAGGTTTTTTAATTCCCTTGGCTTTTAGATCCCCTTGTTGATAGTTACCTATTTGTTGTTCATAATTTTTATCTTTATCTTCTTTCTCTTCTTAAAGAACCCCTTTCAGCAATTCATATAATTCTGGTTTGGCGGCGATGAACTCCTTTAGCTTTATTTATTTATTTATTTATTCATTTATTTTTATTTGTGAAGCTCTTTATCTGGCCTTCGATTCTGAGTGATAGCTTTGCTGGGTAGAGTATTCTTGGCTGAAGGTTCTTGCTATTCATCACCTTGAATATTTCTTGCCATTCCCATCTGGCCTGCATGGTTTCTGTTGAGATATCAGCTGACAATCGTATGGGTGCTCCTTTATAGGTAACTACCTGCTTTTCTCTTGCTGATTTTAATATTCTCTCTTTGTCTTTTGCTCTTGGGATTTTAATTATGATGTGCCTTGGTGTGGTCCTCTTTGGATTCCTTTTGTTTGGGGTTCTGTGCACTTCCTGGACTTGTAAGTCTATTTCTTTCCCTAGGTTGGGGGAAGTTTTCTGTCACTATTTTTTTCAATATGGTTTTGGTATCTTGCTCTCTCTCATCTTCTGGGACCCCCATAATTCTGATGTTGGTTCGCTTGAAGTTGTCCCAGACCACCTTTTCCCTTCTGGGGCCTGCCTGGGGCTGCGGCCTCACAACCATCCCTATGCTGGGACCCAGGCAGCAGCCCCAAATTCTTTAGGTCCAACCCTATTTAAACCCATTCACCTCATTCCGTTTTTGCAGAGCAAACATTTTAAAACAGCTTAAAGCCAAGTAGTTTTTGTTTAGGTAATGTCAACATGTCATGTATATGGGGTCGTGGCGCCTGGTGGAGTAAGTAACCGCATCTTGTTATCAGGAAAGTTGGCAGTGATCTGTCCTGTAAGGCTATTTTGTTAGTTGCAGCTGAGGTTTATGGCCATGTTGACTAGGGGGAAGCATGCTCAAAAATCCCCACTCTCTTACAAATTAATGCCACGTGGGTTGCATCTGGTTTTGGGGCTAGCCTGATTAGGACATATCTCACTAGACACGGCTTCATGAAAAAAACTAGAAATTTAGTTTTTCATGTATTTTCACCCAGACCTCTCTGGACCCACAAAGGGGAAACTAGGTTTGGGGCTGGGAGCACCCCGCCTTCCTCCATGAGAAACCACGGAAACGAGCCACATGACCCGGCCCCTTTAAGGCCGCCCTGCACATTCACTGACCTGTAGGGCCCTGTCCTCCCTCCCCCAGGCAGACACATCTCCTCCGTGTGGACAAGGACAGAGAAGACAGGGAGAGGCTGGCCATGGGGCCCCGGCCCTCCACCCTCCTGGGCCTCGGTGAGTCCTGGACGGAGGGACCTCTCCCAGGGGCCGAGGGGGTGGTGGCCAGGGGAGGCATCTCCATCCCTGCTCAGTCTGACCTCAGCCCAGGAGACTCCTGGTCCCTCCTGGGGGCCTGGACCCTCAGCGCTGGCCCTGAGCTACGTGTGACCCCGGGAGGGTCAGTCCTAGAGGCAGGGGCCTGGGCATGGGGACAGGGTCTGACTGAGGACCCGATTGGAGAAAGGGGTGGGGGTTAATCTGGAAACCCAGAGCAGGAAGCAGGATTGTGCTCAGAGGGGATGCTGAGGAGGGAGTCTGGGAAATTCTTCTTGCCAGGCTCACTGCCTCCAGAAAGGCACCCTGATTGCAGCCCAGAGAGGACCCGGGTGCTGGGCGTTGTCCTCACCAGCCCTTCCCTTGCAGTGCTCTGTCTGGGCCAGATGATCCACACACAGGAGGGTGAGTCCCCTTTTTAAATGGAGTATTTCACACATGTTTCATGTTCAGGCAAAATATTGATTTTCCTTAGAGTCCTCTCCTGGTGTGTCTTCAGCTGGAATGAGCCTGAGCATCTCTCCTTGTCTGGGTCTGTCTGTCCTCACGCCCTCTGGCTAAGTGACCTTCAGAAACCCAGCCTTCCTGTCACTTCCACAAACTCCATGTTCTGTCTCTACCATGACCCCCTCCCAGGCTGAGGGCTCCTGTAGCTCAGCTTACCTTATTCATATTTGGCCTTTGGTCTCAGCTCAGGGCCTCTCTTCTCTGCCTCTGAGGAGAGGTCAGCTCTGCCCCCCTCACCATGATCCTCCCATACTCACCCTGAGCCCCCCACACTCACCCTGAGCCCCCACACTCACCCTGAGCCCCCACACTCAACTCTGGGCCAGTGTTACAGCGCATGGCTGTGGGTTGCACAAATCCCTCCTCAGCCCTGTGCCCCCTTTCCCCACATTCCACCCAAGAAGGCAGGGTCCTCCTGTGTTTCTCCTGTTTGTGAGGCCAAAGGCACAAGGAGGCGTCGGTAAAGGGGAGACAGGAGCTGACCTGTGGCTGAAGGAACAAGAGAATGAGTGGTGGGGCTGGATCAGCTCTGTCTCTCAGGGATTGGGTAACTTGGATGCTTCCTTCCTGTTTCAGGGCCAGAGTCCTCTCTTCCCCTGCCCAGCTCAGTTTAGAAACCTGGGGTTGCAGGAATCTCAATTGCAAGGAAGTGCACGTGGGCTGAGAGGGAGGTGGGAAATGCAGAGGGAACCTCAGTGAGTGCTGCTCAGAGGTCGTGCCCACAGTCAGGGGAGAGTCCATACCTACTAGGGTCCTGTGAGCAGGTCCGGGCTGGTGTCCACTCCCATCCCCACTAGAACCACCATGTGGCCCTGCATCCCCCATTGGTCCCCACAATCTCCCCAGCTGCCCTCAAACCCGGCCAGGTCACTCCCACCATCTCCGACTCCAGCGTCCCTGTCCCCACGAGTGACCCGCTCATCTTCACCCTCTGCCCCCTCCCAGCCCCGCCTGTCCCCCTGGAGAGTGGCTGTAGGGAGGGGGACATGGCTGGGGCCTCAGGCTGCTCCGACTCCTCCCATGTCCCCCTGAGAAAAGCCCATGATGACACCAGAACTTGTGTCCTGTGAAGAAGTCACTGGAGTGATGAGTCCCTGAGGGGGTAGAGGGATCCTGCAAATGGTCTAGACCTGGCTGGGGTGAGGGCTGCACAGCTCTACAAGTTTGTTATAAACCATGGAGGTGCTCGTTTGAAATACGGGCGGTGTGAGGTTGGAGATTTCCTCATGATGGAGCCTGAGATCCTGCTCTGCTTCCTCCCAGGGAACCTGCCCAAACCCTCCCTCAGGGCCGAGCCAGGCTCTGTGATCCCCCGGGGACAACCTGTGACTTTCGTGTGCCGGGGTCCAGCTGGGGCAAGGTTATTCCGCCTGTTGAAGGATGGAAGACTTGTACTCTCTTATCAGAAAAGTGTGTCTCAAGATGATTCTCAGGGGACAGAGACCAGATTCCTCTTGCGCGCTGTGAAGGAACATGATGCTGGGAGTTACCGCTGCCTCTACAAGCAAGGGTCCCACTGGTCAGAGCGCAGTGAACCCCTGCAGCTGCAGGTGACACAGGAGGACGTCTCCACTCCACCCTCGGGTGAGTCCCAGGGCCCCACACCCTGTCCTAGCCGCATCTCTGTCCTCGGGCTCCTGCCCTCCTGCTCACCCCCAGACCTGGGGCTCTCCTCCCTCTGCACACAGGACCCTCAGCCTTCACCCCTGGCTCAGGGCCCTGGTGTCTGGTCCCATCTGGACACCACGGTGGCCTGGACCCTGAGCCCCGCCACAGAGGGGACACTGAGCTGTCCTTCTGGGCAGGGTGGGGCCTGAGCTTCCAGATACCAGCTGGGCACAGACCCCTTCAAGGGGCCCTGAGTCCTTCCCCTCAATGTGGGGGTGCCCTGCCCTTTCCCCTGGCCAGGCTCTGAGGGGCCCAGGCAATGTGTCCCCTGGAGTCCGCCCTCCATGGGCAAGTCTCGTGGTCCACGGGGTCCCTAACCAGAGCGGGACGGTGCTTTGGGGTATTTTTTTGGATGTAGCTTACCCATGGCCTAGTGTGGTCAGACCCTGAGATGAACTGGAGTCAGAGTCCAGCAAGGACATGGAGAGGGAGGGAGGGCAGGAGGAAGGGAAATTCTTCCTTTAACACCGAGTGTCTTCTCTCTCCTCTTTCTTTATCCTGGGGGGGACTCAGACATCCCCTGGGTGGTTCCACAAGCTCCGAGGTAGCCCCCAAACTGAGGCCTGGGGTAATGGCATAAGGAGGCGTCTGTAAAGGGGAGATAGGAACTGAGCTGTGGCTGAAGGAACGAGGGAATGAGTGGTGGGGGTGGCCAGCTCTGTCTCTCAGGGGTTGGGTAACTGGAATGCCTTCTTCCTGTTTCAGGGCCAGAGCCCTCTCTTCCCCTCCCAGCCCAGTTTATACACGTGGGGTTTCAGGAGCCTCAACACCAAGGAAGGGGAAATGGGCTGAGAGGGAGGTGGGAAATGCAGAGGGAACCTCAGTGAGTGCTGCTCAGAGGACGTGCCCTGCAGTCATAGGTGGGGGGTGTCCACACAACTGGGGTCCTGGGAGCAGGTCTGGGCTGGAGCTGTACACCTACCCCCTCCTCCTCTTGACTTCCCATGGGGCAATGCAGCCCCCATTGGCCCCCACAATCTCTCTAGCTGCCCTTAGACCCGGCCAGGTCATTCCCACCATCTCAGACTCCAGCGTCCCTGTCCCCACGAGTGACCCGCTCATCCTCACCCTCTGTCCCCCTCCCAGCCCTGTCTATCCCCCTGGAGGTGGCAGCAGGGAGGGGGATGTGCCCAGGTCCCCAGGCTGGTCCGACTGCTCCCTGGTCCCTTAAGGAAAGCCCACGAGGCCACCAGGACTCGGGTTCTTGTGTCACGTGGAGAAGTCACTGGAGGGATGAGAACTGAGTCTCTGGAGGGGAAAGAGGTGGTCTCTTGGGGAAGAGATGGTGCAAATGGTCTAAGCCTGGGCTGTGGTGAGGGCTGCACAGCTCTGCCAGTTTGGTATAAACCATGGAGGTGCACGCTTAAGACGGGCGGTGTGAGGTTGGAGATTTCCTCATGATGGAGCCTGGGATCCTGCTCTGCTTCCTCCCAGGGTTTCAGCCCAAGCCCTCCCTCAGGGCTGAGCCAGGCCCTGTGATCCTCCGGGGACGGCCTGTGACCTTCGTGTGCCAGGGCCCAGCTGGGGCTAGGTTATTTCGCCTGGACAAGGATGAAAGACGTGTACCCCCTTATCAGAAAAGTGTGTCTCAAGATGGCCGGCAGGGGACAGAGGCCAGATTCCAAATCTCTGTGGTGAATGATGACACTGCCGGGCGTTATAGCTGCCTCTATCTCCAAGGGTCCCACTGGTCTGAGCGCAGTGAGCCCCTGGACCTGCAGATGACAGAGGATGACGTCTCCACTCAGCCCCCAGGTGGGTCCCAGGGCCCCGCACCCTGTCCCAGCCACATCTCTGTCCTCAGTCTCCCTGCCCCCCTGTTTACTCCCAACCCTGGGGCTCCCCTCCCTCTGCATACAGCACCCTTGGCCTTTATCCCTGGCTCAGGGCCCGGGAGTCTGGTCCCATCTGGACACCCCAGTGGCCTGGACCCTGAGCCCCACCTCAGAGGGGACACTGAGCTGTCCCTTCTGGGCAGGGTAGGGCCTGAGCTTCCAGACACCAGGTGGGCACAGACCCCTTCAAGGGGCCCTGAGTCCTTCCCCTCAGTGTGGGGGTGCCCTGCCCTTTCCCCTGGCCAGGCTCTGAGGGGCCCAGGCAATGTGTCCCCTGGGGTCTGCCCTCCATGGGCAAGTCCCGTGGTCCATGGGGTCCCTGACCAGAGCGGCACGGTGCTTTGGGGTATTTTTTTGGATGTGACTTGCCCCTGGCCTGGTGTGGTCAGAACCTGAGATGAACTGAGAGTCCAGCAAGGACATGGAGAGAGAAGGAGGGAGGTAAAAAGGGAGGGAGGGAAAGAGAGAGGCAAGGAGGGATGGAGGGAAATTCTTCCTTTAACACTGAGTGTCTTCTCTCTCCTCTCTCTTTTACCTGGAGGGTCTCAGACATCCCCTGGGTGGTTCCACAAGCACCGAGGTAGCCCCCAAATTGAGGCCTGGGGTAATGGCATAAGGAGGCATCTGTAAAGGGGAGAGATGGGAGCTAAGCTGTGGCTGAAGGAATGAGGGAATGAGTGACCAAGAGAATGAGTGGTAGGGGTGGCCAGCTCTGTCTCTCAGGGGTTGGGTAACTGGAATGCCTTCTTCCTGTTTCAGGGCCAGAGCCCTCTCTTTCCCTCCCAGCCCAGTTTAGACACTTGGGGTTTCAGGAGCCTCCATCACAAGGAAGGGGAAATGGGCTGAGAGGGAGGTGGGAAATACAGAGGGAACCTCAGTGAGTGCTGCTCAGAGGACGTGCCCTGCAGTCACAGGTGTGAGGTATCCACACAACTGGGGTCCTGTGAGCAGGTCTGGGCTGGAGCTATACTCCCAACCCCCTTCTCCTCTAAACTTCCCATGGGGCAATGCAGCCCCCATTGGCCCCCACAATCTCTCTAGCTGCCCTCAGACCCAGCCAGGTCATTCCCACCATCTCAGACTCCAGCGTCCCTGTCCCCACGAGTGACCCGCTCATCTCACCCTCTGTCCCCCTCCCAGCCCTGTCTGTCCCCCTGGAGGTGGTAGCAGGGAGGGGGACGTGCCCAGGTCCCCAGGCTGGTCCGACTGCTCCCTGGTCCCTTAAGGAAAGCCCACGAGGCCACCAGGACTCGGGTTCCTGTGTCACGTGGAGAAGTCACTGGAGGGATGAGAACTGAGTCTCTGGAGAGGAAAGGGGTGGTCTCTTGGGGAAGAGATGGTGCAAATGGTCTAAGCCTGGGCTGTGGTGAGGGCTGCACAGCTCTGCCAGTTTGGTATAAACCATGGAGGTGCACGCTTAAGACAGGGGCGGTGTGAGGTTGGAGATTTCCTCATGATGGAGCCTGAGATCCTGCTCTGCTTCCTCCCAGGGAACCTGCCCAAACCCTCCCTCAGGGCCGAGCCAGGCCCTGTGATCCCCCGGGGACGGCCTGTGACCTTCGTGTGCCGGGGCCCAGCTGGGGCTGAGTTATTCCGTCTGGAGAAGGATGAAAGACAAACAGTCTCTGATCAGAAAAGTGTGCCTCAAGATGGTTCTCAGGGCACAGAGGCCAGATTTCTCATCGGTGCGGTGAGTAACGTCACTGCCGGGCGTTACAGCTGCCTCTACAACCAAGGGTTCCGCTGGTCTGAGCGCAGTGAGCCCCTGCAGCTGCAGATGACAGGGAAGAACGTCTCCACTCCACCCTCAG